TAGCCATTTATGGCAGAAACAAAGTAGAGCATTTTATTGAATGAACTCACTGGATAACTAAAATAACTAAAAATCACTCGACACTATTAAATAGCCAACTAAAGTAAAACGCGTGCATCGCACGTGCATCGACTAGTTTTCACAAAAGGCACAAATTGTTTTTAAATAATAACTTTTGTAATAAAGTAAATAAAAGAACATTGCACTTGTACTATTGTTGTCGTTTCTTGGAAAAAGGATGACAAGTTGCGAGGTGCATCATCATCCAGTAATTAACAGTGGACGAGAGAGAGAGACAAGTTGCGAGGTGCATCATCATCCAGTAATTAACAGTGGACGAGAGAAAGAGGCGGGTATTTAGCAAATGGAACAGTCGGGTTTAAATTTAATCATGGAACCGTCCGTGTTCGATTCCATTCGGTTCTCGAATTCCATATAATAATTAATTTTTTTTATACTTATAACAACGTTACATTAATTCAACTAATGACATGTTTAATTTTAGCACTTACAGAATAACATATAGTCCAATTCCTTGGTATCTTTTACGCTTCTCTTTATTGAGTTTTCCATAAATTTGACAGTCAAAATCACATAAAGAGCAAGATGTGAATTCACAATAATAAAGAGAGGCTTCCAATTCGATTTTTTCAGACAGAAACGACACTACGGTAGAATAAGATGTTTAAGTAAAATTTAGGTGGATTTGATTAATTGAACTTGGACTGGAAATTAAAAATAAAAAAAATCATATTTTGGATCTGTGTTAAATTAATTAATTAGGAAATTTATTTTTAAAAAATAAAATAATTTGACAGATTTAATTTAAGAACATTCAATTGTGTTCGGATTCGATTCCATTGGTTGGGTTCGACAATTTTGTACAAGGTCGGTAGAGAACTGTAAAAATGTCTGTTACGTTTCGGAACTTGCGTACATTTTAATTGTTCCGTGACGTTGTGGGCTCAATCGCCGGTGACGACAAACTGTTATGTTTACACTCACCAAGACTCCTGCACAGCTCGGATCATTTTTCTGGACAGTTCCTTGGTTACAGGTTCCATACTTCCTGTTGGTCCCTTTTTTTGTTAATTACAGATAAATACACGTTTACACTCGGAGTCGGAGATAGAGAGAAGAGAGGTGGTGGTAGCAGTGAAAATGGAGTATAAAAAATGGGCGATCCTGGCTCTGATGCCACTACTCTTATCATTTGTAGTGCTCTATTTTGA